GGGCCCTATCACAAAAGATCATCAGCACTCTTGAAAGTTATAACCATAATTGTCAACATAAAAATTCAATGAAATGGTTTAAAATTGAGGAAACGTTTAGAAAAGACTAAAGTTTATCAATCAGATAGAAAATAGGAAATCAGAATACAAGGGAAATGGAGTTCTAAAAGGTTTAACATACATTTGAGAAATAAAGAAAAAAATTTAAACATTTCCCCTAGCTGGTGTAACTAGTCTCAACCTGCACGGCTAGGTTCCGGATGTGAAGGAGGGGCCGACGCACAAATGGAAATGCCATATGAGAAATATGAATGTAGAAGGCACTGGGGAGCAGGTGGAGACCCCTTCCCGGAAGAGGTACCTTTCTGACCTGGTCCACCTTTATTCACTTGAATACACATTTCCCTTTAGCAATGCATACTGGCAGATCAAAGGTAAATTCTGATAAACAACGTAAGGATTATCACATCAGGAAATTGCCTTGATCCATTGTGCCCACAGCAGGCTATTCCACGACAATAGCACAAAAGACAACATAAAATGAGTCTTATGCTCATTTTCAGCCCTGCTGGATATCCAAGTCCATTGGCCTTCCAATGTTCCTTTTTTCATTTTCTTGCTAACTGCAATTTGCTTTGGCCTCAGTGACTGAGTGGGTGAGCCCCAAACCAGAGGTCACGGTTTGATTCCGGGGAGCATAGACGTGGGCTAAAAACTATAGAACACAAATAAAATGGCATTTGTCTTCACAACAACTCGGAAAGTAAGAGACAATGGAGTTAATTTCTGAAAAATTCTATACCCCGTTTGTTGTATTAGCAGAGATTCAGAAAATTTATTTTCTACTCTTTTTCCCCATAGGATCATAAGCTCCAGAAAGAGAAACATGAAACAATGGCTTTCTAACAAAAACAAGGGAAAATGTTAGAATATGATATAACGGGCTTAGAAAGCAGCAGTTAGTCTGAAGCAGAAGAGCTAATGTGTCCAAGAGGAGGTCTGAGGAAAAGGACTTGATGGACTAAACCGCGAAGAAGAATTTGAAGTTATTAAAGCTATGGTAACTACAATAGCACAGAAGACAACAGAAAGGCTTTCAATAAAGACCGTGGGCCATACGAGAGAAGAAATGTCATTACAGTTCAGGATTTGGCTCAGCAGATAGTCTATGGCCATCCCACCCTGAACGCGCCCAATCTCGGAAGCTAAGCAGGGTTGGGCTTGGTTAATACGTGGATGGGAGCAGACGATATTTAGAGAGTCGTAATATAAATGCTAACGAACCAACTAGGAAGTTAACAGAGGTAGCCAAGAAGTTCTTATGAAATAATGAAACCTGCAAACCACACGCGAAGGTAAGAGAACAGGAATGGAGACACAAGAGCTTGCAGCACGGAGCCCTGTAGACTGTGCCTGAACATTTTACCTCCCGTTGGACTGGACGTGGAAGAGGAGCAGGAGGATGCACCCTCATTGGCTGGAGGTCCCGATGTTCCCTGTTGCATCTTTATGCCAACTGCTGTGTGCTTCAGCCTCAGGCAGCAGCTGAGGCCCTCATTCAGCGAGCTGCAGGGGTGGTCACAGCCACAGGCCGGACGCACGTCTCTCAAGTCGGGCCACCCCCCGCCAAGCAGGGGCTCCTCCTCAGGACCGGAGCTTGGAGAGTGGGGACCCCGAGAAGCAGGCCCAAGGCCTTGAGATGGTGCAGCGTGGCCAAAGCCAGCCGCGGAGGATGGCTAGCTGTCCCCAGCATTCGGCTGCACCCACAGCCTCGACTCTGCCAGTCAGAATGGAAGTTGTGTTTCAGCTCCAGGCCCAGAAAAGCAGCCAAGTCAGACCAGTGACCCCAAGGCTGACCTCCGGACCAGCTGCATTGAATAATGACCCCCTGCCCTTGTGCCAGCCCAGCAATCAGTGGAGACCACAACCCTAGAAAACTGCTGACTATCCTATAGAGCGCTTCGCCTGGAACCGCCCTGAAATCTCCGCCCTCAAAACCCTGAGGATGAAGGACCCACAGCTCACACTTCCTCCGGGAGCACTCCATGCCTCTGCCTCAGGCAGGTTATACCATCCACTTCCTCACTCCCAAGCCCAGGGGCCCTTCCTTTACCTCTGGAACTTGCTTCCTAAGCCCGATTCTTCTAGGAATGACTTTCTATACCTCTGTGATCAACCGAATAAACATTCTCTTATAAAAATAAAAAAAGAGAAAGTCAACAATGTAAATTGTTTTTATCAAGAAACAGCAGTATGGTCATAAAATTTGGAACGTGAGATAAAAATGCTTGAGTCATATCATCTCTAGGTGGCAAAACTGGGAAATATGACAAAGGCTTAGGTGCATACTAAGTTTTTTACCCCATGATAATTTTTAAAGTAAATGCAAATAAGTTTAATTTTTGCACATCTCTTAGTATATATCCAGGCATATTTGCCAAAAGAAGTAAAACTGTTCCCACAATTTACATATACCTCACTTACTCTGCAGTGAATATGATTTAAATATCCATCCTTTTAATACAGAAAATTACATTTCTATTAGAACCTGAATAGTGAAATTCAGATTCTTAAAGCTTTACAATAGCTCCTATTTTCTGAGTACTTAGCCTGTTTTTAGAAATTGTTTGAAGCATTTCAGATTTGTAATTTTTACCATTTAATCTTCAAAATAACCCTATGAAGTTGGTCCTTTTATTACACAATTTCATACATGAGAAAGCTGGGTTCGGTTTATACAACTTGCCCAAAATCCAGTTATATCTAGATCTGGAATACAAACATTCTGATACCATTGCTCACAGTACATTTTCCTTAATCACCCAAAGGTAAGGATACAATTGATAAGTTTTGATTTCCAGGTTTCATTTTTTTTTCTTTTTTATTTATCGATATTTATTTTACTAGAGGCCCGGTGCACAGATTCATGCACTGGTGGGGTCCCTCGGCCTGGCCTGCGGGGATTGGGCTGGAAATGGCATTCTGACATCCCTCAATGGGTCCTGGATTGTGAGAGGGTGCAGGCCAGGCTGAGGGGCCCTGCCTGTGCACCAGACCTCTATTATGCATAAGGCCTTCAGTTAATCTCTTCCCGCCCTCTCCCCCCTTCCCTCTGAGATTCATCAGTCTGTTCCAGGTTTCCATGCCTGTGCATTGAGCGTCTTCCCCCTGGTGGTCAGTGTGTGTCATAGCCACCGGTCGCACTGCCACTATAGATTGGTTTCAGGGGATGAGGAGATAGAGAAACATTAATAATGAATCATTGATTGGCTGCCTCCTGCATGCCCCTTCCTGGGTGGGGATCAAGCACAAAACCCAGTCATTTGCCCTGACCAGTGTCAAACCCAGGATGACGCCGTTATCCACTGAGCCAAACTGGCCAGGGCTTTTTCTTTCTTTGTTAACCGCACTGCCTTTCAGCTTTATAAATGTGTATGTGGACACTGACAAAGTGGACATAAGAAAAACTATAAGCTACAGAGTTAAAGAGCAGCATTAATGAGGCAATGGGTGTGATGTCAGGTGTCAGCCCACTGTACTCCACAGCACAATTAAGTAAAAATGGCCCGACTGGAAGATTCAATCAGACCCAAAAAACCTGCTTTGAAAAACCACTCTGTATATCAAGGGGTTTATTGCTTTGGTACTCTTTGCATTAAGATGTCATGAAAGGACTAAATAGAAACATGTGAAGTCATTTGTTCATTTATTCATTATGTCAAATTCAGTTTTCTATACACTATGTTGTTTATTCCATTTTCTGTACTATTAGACATACATATTTAAAAAAATATTTAACTTATTTTTATGAAGAAATTAAATATTTTCTGGGGGGGGGGGGGAGAAATCATTTTATTTATTGTTCTCTAGCAACAATCCTGAAACAAATCTCATCCAACTCCACGCATTTAAATACCTTTGCTCCATGGCAATTTGTTTACAGACCTAATTTAGTTTACACAATTCTATTCTACATAACACTGTTTTACCCTGTTACATAGTATATAATTAAAGAACATTTTTGTAATTAACATGTTTCTTTTGATATAATACAGAACAAGTTTTTCCCATCTCCCGCAAGCACTCAAATATATTAAAAAGGTATCCTTTCTTAAAAGGCACACACATTTACAGGTTCAAATCTTTATTGTTTTAAAATTCTACATGTGTTTTACAATACAATAGTTTGTTATTTAAATGACCTCTAAACGGTTAATGTACAATGAATATGTTTTTTCTGAAGCTGAACCATGAATTATAATTTCATCAATATAGTTATTCTTAACAGAATAATAAAGGTGGGAAGGCTCCCGTGCTGCATGTACAGTGTCGATAGCACAGACTCCTCCCTCTAGAACCCAGGCGACCGGTCTGCTGAAAGTGCTTTTAAAAACTGATAATTATGGCTGATCTTAAAAATCAATCAATCAAATTGAGTTCCTTTTTGTTTGGAAACATCAAAGGGCATTAAAAAAATAAAGGAAACCATTTTCTTTAGTCATCTACAGAGGCAAACTCAAAATTATGATTATCTGCATGCAATAACACTCCTCTCTTTAAATAGTCTTGAAGAATCTATACATTTTTTATAAAGAGTGTCTTCAGAGTGCAAGTTTTTGATACTGATTTCACAAAAGGACAAATGCTGGTAATAACAACATTTACTATCTAAGTTCAAGCTAATGTATATGTAACAGGCAATTAATATGGCTAATCGTAAGCCACAATGCACAGGGTATGCCCTTTGAGAAATGAACTAGTTTGGTCCGCATTTCGTTTGGATAAAAACAAAACCAAAACCATTTTAATTCAGCCAAATGTCTTACTCAGTTTATTGTTCTAAAGGGTGTGTGGCCAGTTGAAAGGTAAATGATGTGCACCAATGAAGCACACTGTCTCGCTGACTCTGTATAGAAAGATGGCTTGTTGTTTTGGAGTGATGAATGAACACTGCAGGATAAATCAGGAAAATGTCACAGAACGGCTTCATTTCTTCCAGGCTACACTTTCTTATTCCACGACACAGCTTTCACTCTGTAAAACTTTGTTCCCAAAGGAACTTTAAATCTGTTTTGTGCCTAAGAAGAAAAGAAACCAAATTACACAAGAACCATCGTATCCTACCACTCAATGCTGGAGTACTGGGGGGAGGGGAGGGGAGGGGCTCTTAGACAAACTACACCAGACCTTCCCCTCACCGGGTGAAAATATAATGAGCCTCTAATATTGATGGAAGGATACAGTACGAAGTGAGCCGTAAGTCCTTAAAGTGTCAAGGAAACAAATACTACACAGTTTATTGAGCAAAGGGGCCCAAAATTACAGAGTTAGGAAATATGCTCCCTAGATTTCACTAATTGTATTGTAATGGCATTGCTAATGTAACAGTCAGGTGCATTTTAAGTCATCAATATTTTACTTCAATGGGAGTAGAGTATGAAAATAAATAAGAAAATAACAACTCTATTTATAAATAGATTCGCTTTTAATCAGCAGTTATGTTCCCATTAAAGGTCTCACTCAAGAGAGCAAAAAGGCCAAGACAGCACTGTTCAAGATTTTTGTATCAAGTAATATAAGAATCCTATAGAATAAAGAGGTAATATGCAAATTCACGCTCACAGCCTCACAAGATGGCTGCCTATGACCAGGCCAGCAGGGGGTTAATGAGGGATGACCAAACGACTGAACAAGCAGGCCATATGGGATGACCAGGCCAGCGGGAGGGAGGAGAGGGGGGCATAACGGGTGACCAGGACAGCAGAGGGGGCAGTTAGGGCAACCAGGCCAGCAGGGAGAGGGCAGCTGGGACGACCTGGCCAGTAGTGGGGGGCAGTTAGGGGAGACCAGGTAGGCAGGCAGGTGAGCGATTAGGAGCCAGCGGTCCAGGATTGTGAAAGGGTGCAGGCTGGGGTGAGGCGACCCTCCCCATGCATGAATTTCATGCACCAGTCCTCTAGTTTTCTACATAATTCCTAAGTTTATAACATATGATTGATATATATATATATATATTTTTTTTTTTTTTTTTTTTTTTTTTTTTTTTTTACCTTTTTGGCTTGACAGTATTCCTTTTCCATTACTTTTCCAAGAACCCAGGGTCTTCTAGATACACCTGAAGCTATTAAATCAAGAGATTAGTTTCTTTTTAAAAGTACAGTTATAATTATCATAAAATGTAACTGTCAGAATCAAAACAGACTAATGCAAGATTGCTGAAATCACGAAAACGTGTAACAATTTTCAAAACAACACTGAATTCAGTCTACTTTTCAACCATAAATTTTGATTTTATTTACTCATTAAAAATAACTGATAAGTCAAATCACAGAACTAACGAAGTTAAAGATATACAAATAATCTAAGTATAAATTATAAACAAATTTAGAAATTCTCTAAATTGCTCAACAGTGCCATCTACTGAAAGTGCTAAGATGACCTTTTCCATTCTGAAAATAGGCAAAGTCATGCAGACAAAACGTATTTTCTAGATTCTAAGAAAAGCCCTGCCTTCTGAGAGGCACTGCTTGTGACACCAATGCTCCTGTCTGTACCCACAGTGCACGGAAGGGGCGAACACAGTCGGTGCACAATAAATGACTGACAGGTCTTCCAGGGGAGTGCCTGAGCAACGGGGAGGTGGGAAATGTGGGAGGAGCCAGAATGAAAAGGCTTGTCCTCACAGAGCCCAAGAGTGACAAACTAATACTCATTGTCTTCAAATTCATCAGAAATTCTCATAAAAACTTGATTCCAAAAGTTCTTTGGCCAATAAATTATCTGTTTAGATAAGCCTTTGAGATTCCCAAGAGAAGCCAAAATTAATTTGTATGCCATAAATATAAGTAAATAAAAGATCCTGAAAAACCATCAGAAATGTACATTCATAGCAACTATCACATAATAGAAAGACAGAGAAGCCCCTGGACCAAAGAATGGGAAAAATACTATAAATGCTGTAATATAGCATTTTAGATAATCCATCATTTATGAAAAGACTCTAAAATGAAATGCTTATGTTTTATGTATGAGGACTAAAAGTCCCCACTGTCTCAGGCATACAAACACTCTGCTAGTCCACACTCCATCCCTAGGACAGTGGACAGAGGTACTATACCCGCTGCTCTTGAATCCTCACCACCCCCACTGCCCCCCCCCACCCAAAAAAAGAGGTGGGGTGGGTGTGAGGAGGGTGTGGAGTGCCATGGTAAAATAAGACTGTTGCCCTAGCCCAGTGGTCAGCAAACTCATTAGTCAACAGAGCCAAATATCAACAGTACAACGACTGAAATTTCTTTTGAGAGCCGAAAACCAACTTCTGCGCATGGGCCAGGAAATTTCAATCATCCTGTACGTGCGCACCCGCACAGGGTGTTTTGTGGAAGAGCCACACTCAAGGGGCCAAAGAGCCTCATGTGGTCACGAGCCACAGTTTGCTGACCACTGCCCTAGCCAGTTTGGCTCAGTGGATAGAATGTCGGGCCTGTGGACTACAGAGTCCGGGTTCAATTCTGGTCAAGGGCACATGCCCAGGTTGCAGGCTTGATCCCCAGTAGGTGGCATGCAGGAGGCAGCCAATCAATGATTCTCTCTCATCATTGATGTTTCTATGTCTTTCTCCCTCTCCCTTCTTCTCTACAATCAATAAAAAATATATTTTTTAAAAAGACTGTTAAATAAATTATTTTCTGTAAGACTTGAGTGCTTTAAAAATGATAATGTGCACTGTGGATCTGAGTATACAGTCAGTGTTTACAAAATTTAAAACTGAATTCCCTCCCTATCCTTAGGATATGCACATTGAAAATATTTAAAGATAAACAAGAACCATGATATAATTTCGCCTCATATGGTTCTGAATGTGCACACAAAACATTGTATATATTTTTGTGTTGGTACATTTAGACATACACATATAGAAATAATAGAAATGGGCCAATTGTTAATAGAAGGTGAACATGAGTAAAGGTATATGGTGGGGGGGTGCACTATACTTATGCTACTTTATGATAAATTTTGAAAATTTTTCAAATGAAAAGCTTAAACAAATAAAAAAACAAAAACTATAAAAAAATCATATAAGAAAATATCAAGCTCATTGTTTTCAAGGTACAAACCCCACTCATTTCTCATGTTTACATGAAAAATGCACGTATTTATGGACATTCTACGTAACCCACCACCAACAGCCACAAGAGCGTGATTGTGATGTTGGCCTACTTCAGAGATTGGTATTTGATCAGGTTATCATCCCAAATAAAAACAGCAATCTAAGTACACATACATTCTTGTTTTTCTATTTAGGTGAAGTATCCCAGGGTATCATCTTGTTGTTTTTTTAATTCTTCCAAGTAATAGAAAAAATGGAAAAGTAATAACATAGAGAGAGGATCCCTTCCCCATCACTTTGCCTATCACTCTGCAGATCTGTGTGTGTCCACTTCAGCCCAATTCTATGCTCTCCCTCTGGGGTCAGCTGGGGATGAAGAGAAGAGACCCAGCTTGCCTGAGGCTCCTGCTCATTGAAGGATTACCTTACCACTGTCCCATGAGCCTAACGCTGAAAAATTCCCTTCTAAATGGTAGAAACACGGGATGATAAAAAAAGACAGAAAAGACATTTTATAATTTGCAAAAAAAAAAAGGTAATGTTATTAACAAGCATGTGAGCTTAAATAGATTGTACTTATATAAGAATTAAGACAATTTAATTCTGCTACTTCTAGGATATGAGATATCTGGCCCAATTGCAATAACTACGTTGATTTAGAATTGTCAGTAGAATCCAGGAAATCAACCTGGATACCGCAAATTTTATAAACAAACAGATTCTGACATATTTAGACAGCAAATAAAAATGTGTAATATAGTCTCTCCATCCCAGGTTTTATTATTGTAGTTATGGATGTGACACTTACCACCCTCACCTGGTTTGAGATCCAGGGCAGGCAAAGACTCTGAATGCAGAAAATACAAGGTTGGACTAACGGTAAATAATACATAATTGTCGTGGCGCTCGTCTAGGATAATGAGTACCAAATCTCCCACCTGGAAACTAAATAAAGGAATGTCATTATCGACCTGAAAAGTTACTGTCGCCCCTTCTGAAAACTTTAAGTATATATTCTGCAATGTTCAACTATATATTAAAATGTCACAAATGCAATATAATTTTCACATTTACTATGATGTGTGTGTGTGTGTGTGTGTGTGTATATATATATATATATATATATCTCCTATATACCGGTACTAAAAGCCTAATATGCTAAATGTCCAATCATCCATTCAACCAATCAAAGCATAATATGCTAATGATATGCTAAGGCCGCTCAATCTCTCGCGATGACATGCACTAACCAACAGGGGGCAGACGCTCCAACCGGTAGGTTAGCTAGCTGCTGGGGTCCAGCCGATTGGGACTGAGCAAGATAATCTGGACATGCCCTGCAGCCCTCCCACGGTTCCTCCCCAGCTGGCCAACTCCCACATCCCTTCCTGGCCCCAACTGTGCGCTATGGGATCCCTTGGCTTGGGCTGTACCCTCACAATCTGGGACCGCTTGGGGGATATCAGAGAGCCGGTTTCAGCCCAAAAGAGGAATGACCAGTCGCTATGATGCACACTGACCGCAGATGGAGCACCGCTCAGCCAGAAGCCAGGCTCACAGCTGGCAAGCACAGTGGGTCTGGGAGCAGAGAGCGGGTCTAAGTCGGCAGTCAGACATTCCCCGAGGGCTTCCGAACTGCAAGAGGGCGCAGGCCAGGCTGAGAGAACCCTGCCCCCGGGTGCACAAATTTCATGCAAGGGGCTTGGCCCTCGCAGCCCCAGCTGGTCATCCAAAAGGATGTCCAGAGGTCGTTCAGCTGTTGGATCTAAACAGCATATTAGCTCTTCATTATATAGTACTAGAGGCCCCATGTACATGAAAATTCATGCTCTGGAGGGGGGGATCCCTCAGCCTGACCTGCCCCCTCTCACAGTCCGGGAGCCCTCAGGGGCAGGAGGCAACCCAGCGATCAGGGGAAGGCAATGCTCCCATCAAACCCCTGCTGCTGTCACTGCCAGCAATGTAAGCCTCAGGCTGGCCCTGGGCAGCTGGGGGGTTGAGGGGACTGGATGCCACCATCTTGTGGTTATGGGTGCCAGCATCTTTAAGGGTGTTACAGCCAATTAGCATATTCCCTCCTTATTGGCCATTGATGCCATCTTTGTGAGGGTGTGGTAGTCAGTTAGCATATTTCCTCTTTATTAGATAGGATGTGTATATATATATATCCTATCTAATAAAGGCAGATATGCAAATTGACCATCACTTCAACACATAAGATGGCTGCCCACATCTGGACACAAGATGGCCAGCAGGAAAGGGCAATTGGGGAGAACCAGGCCTACTAAGGAGGGCAATTGGGGCAATCAAGCCTCCTGCATGTCCCACACTGGGGATCAAGCCCACAACCCAGACATTTGTGCTCTAAGAATCAAACCTGTGACCTCTTGGTTAATAGGTCGATGCTCAACCAAATGAGCCACAACAACTGCGTGAAAAACCATGCTATTTAATAAAATTTTTTCATCACCAATACAATTCAAAATTATTCAGTTCAGTAAAATATTTTGCACAGAAAAAAAGAAACCCACAAAATATAAATAAAATACTTACTCTCTAATAGCTATCTTTTCAGAATGCCTTGAGGATACTGAAGACATACTCTGAGACATCTAAAAACAAAAACAAAAAAAAAAAAAAAAAAAAAAAAAACAGTCCATAAAGCTTATACAATTAAAGAATGACAGTTATTAGGTCCTATTGTGAAAATTTTGCTCAATATTATGCACACTGTCTCTATCCCAGCTTTTTTTTTTTTTTTTAATATATTTTATTCATTTTTCACAGAGAGGAAGAGAGAGGGATAGAGAGTTAGAAACATCGATGAGAAAGAATCATCGATCAGCTGCCTCTTGCACACCCCCTACTGGGAATGTGCCCACAACCAACGTACATGCCCTTGACTGGAATCGAACCCAGGACCTTTCAATCCGCAGACTGACACTCTATCCACTGAGCCAAACCAGTCCCGGCCTCTATCCCAGTTTTTCAGTCAAAGTTTATATGGTTCATAATAACATAATTCTTTGCCTTCAACAATTACTTTCAGTGGACAAATTTACCTACATTTTTACTTTTTATTATTTTCTGAATCCAATTTGGCTGGATTAAAAACAATATAGAATTACATCTCTTTTTTTAAAATATATTTTATTTCTTTTTTTACAGAGAGGAAGGGAGAGGGATAGTTAGAAACATTGGTAAGAGAGAAACATCGATCAGCTGTCTCCTGCACACTCCCCACTGGGTATGTGTCCACAACCAAGGTAGATGCCTCCCTTGACTAGAATTAAACCTGGGACCCTTTAGTCTGCAGGCTGATGCTTTATCCACTGAACCAAACAAGTCAGGGCTAGAATTACATCTTATTTATAATTACATACCTAATCTTAAAATTTTCACAGGGAAAGAGATTGACATGTATACTTCCTGAGCAGAGTGGGCCCAAACCCTGATTATACAAATCAACAAAAGATGAAAAGATCTCTCTTTATTTATTAAGTTTAATTTTGATGCTCAGAATTTCTTCCATTTCCCTCTGAACACTATTTTGAATAACGCAGGGTCTCAAGTAGTGTTTAAAAACAAGAGAGAAAGAAAAAACTACAACAATGACTAGAAAAGCCTAAAATTGTATAGCAACTGATTATCATAATCGTCCAAATGGTCTACCTGCTGCTGGTAAAGGTAAGTTTGATTATCCATTTTCAGAACACATGCAACTTTATAAAGATTTTTATAAAAAGATTAAGTTTTTGATAAATCTTTTAAAATAAGGACTTGGATCAATTAAGAAGAAAAAACTTACCAGTCTTTGATTTAACCGCTTGTTTTCTTCTTCTTTTAATTGTAATGTCTGCAGGGGGAAATAAGAGAGACCTGTGGTTTGGTTTACCCTTGTACCTACTCAAATCTAAACAGGATTGACAAAACTTTTTAAACTTCAGATTACTTTCAGTTCCCGTACAAAAGTTAGTGGGAAATATTTATTTATAGATCCTTTCCCACTGTTTTTATTATTTACTGGATTAAAAAATAATGAGAACATTTTCAGTATATTTACCTAAACCAACGATTCTAAAAGTTTAATGTGCGTTAAAATCGTATCACTTGTGGGACTTTTAAGTATGCAGTAAATATCTGAGATCCATCCCCAAAGACTCTGCGAATATGTCTGAAGAGGTATTTGCTTATATGCCAGTTGATTCTGATATGTGATCACGCAACACTTCAATAGCAGCAAGTACAACAATAAATGCAGGTTAGAACCAAAGCTGAACAATTTTTCCTAGGTTCTTATAAGCTTGTAAAGAAGGAATTTTTTTTTTTTTTAACTGAAAATCTTAAAAACCAAAGGAATGAGAAGTGCTCTATAAAACAACTGGGAGAAAACCACTTATTGCCTATGTTCATTTCAATCAATCTCCATTAAAGAAAACAACTTCATCATTCACATAATCTATTTTTGCCCAATCAAGGCATGTATTCAATGCTTTGTTTTTGAAATACTTATGTTTTAATGAATTCTGAGCTATTGAAAAAAACTATACATAGTTATTTTATAAAGACCAATAACCTTTTTCTCTAATATAAACTTCATTTATTAGAAACATATAACAAATAGAGTCTTGAAATAATATTGCCAATTGTTAAGTCACTTCTCAAAATATTAATTACAAAAATAAACATTAAAAAAAGATCTGGCTGAAACCGGTTTGACTCAGTGGATAGAATGTCAGCCTGTGGACTAAAAGGTCCCAGGTTCAATTCCGGTAAAGGGCATATACCTTGGTTGCAGGCACATCCCCAGTGGGAGGTGTGCAGGAGGCAGGTGGTCAATGTTTCTCTCTCATTGATGTTTCTATCTCTCTCTCCTTCTCCTTCCTCTCTGTAAAAAATCAATAAAATATATTTAAAAAAAAAAAAATCTGCCCCAGCCAGCATGGCTCAGTGGTTGAACATCAACCTACGAATGAGGAAGGCACATTTCAATTCCAAGAGGGCACATAACTGAATTGGGGGCTCAACCCCAGTGTGGGGTATGTAGGAGACAGCCAATCAATGATTCTCTCTCTTCATTGACTAGAGGCCCGGTGCACAAAATTCGTGCACAGGAGTTGGGGGGTGTCCCTCAGCTCAGCCTGCACCCTCTCCAATCTGGGACCCCTCGAGGGATGTCCAACTGCCTGTTTAGACCTGATCCCACAGGCAATCAGACATCCCTCTCACATTCCAGGACTGCTGGCTCCCAACTGCTCACCTGCCTGCCTTCCTGATTGCCCCTAACTGCTTCTGCCTGCCAGCCTGATCACCCCTAACCACTCCCATGCCAGCCTGATGGATGTCTAACTGCTCCCCTGCCAGCCTGTTTGCCCCCAACTTCCCTCCTCTCCCGGCCTGGTCACCCCTTACTGCCCTCCCCTGCAGGGTTGATCACTTCCAACTGCCCTCCTTTGCAGGCCTGGTCCCTCTCAACTGCCCTCCCCTGCTGGCCTGGTACCGCCCAACTATCCTCCCCTGGTGGCCGTCTTATGTCCACATAGGGGCAGGATCTTTGACCACATGGGGACGGCCATCTTGTCTGTTGGAGTGATGGTCAATCTGCATATTACTCTTATTAGATAGGTTTATTAGATAGGATGTTTCTGTCTTTCTCTCCCTTCCTTTTTTAAATCAATTATATATTTTATAAAAAGACCTAATTTTTAACCAGGGCATGTTTTCAGCATAAGACATATTTAATTGCATCCACATAATGAACATATCAAATATTGCAATTGAAGAAAATAATTTACTTACTCGTTCTAACAGCATTATCCTCTGTTTTTCTTCAGATAGCATATGGATGTTTTCTCTAAGAGACAATGAATTATTTTAGTTTAAGTCTAAAAATTCTGGACTTCACACTCTTCAAAAGAACTTTAGAAATTTAACTATTACTACAAAGCACTTTAAAATTTAAGGGTCTGAACTGAATTGTAGAAAGCATCCTGTTTAAGCTACGGTACATTTCAGTGGTGTACATTCTTTGTAGCAAACCTCCTGAAATTAAGACCTGTAGACCTTTGAAAATATAAGCAAAGCATTGGTTTATGCCTTTTCCTGGGATAATGTCTTTTATTTTATTATTTATTTCTTATTAACCCTCACCTGAAGATACTTTTCCATTGATATTTTAGAAAGAATGGAAGGAAGGGGGAGAGACAGAGAGAAAGAGACACTGAAGTGCGATAGACACGTTGATTGGTAGCACACCCCCAACCAGGGCCCAGGTGCAAGCCAGCAACCACGGTACAATGCCCCTGACTGGAATCAAACCCGGGACCTTTCAGTCCACAGGCCGATGCTCTATCTACTGAGCCAATATTTTAGGAACCTCCATACTGTTTTCCATAGTGGCTGCACCAATCTGTAATCCCACCAACAAGGTCTGAGGGTTCTCTTTTCTCCACATCCTTGCCAGCACTTGTTCCATTAATGTGAGCCATCCTGACAGATGTGAGCTGACTTACCAACCAAAAAATAAACAATCCAAATAAAAAATGGGCAGAGGACCTGAATGGACATATCTCCAAAGATGACATACACATGGCCAATAGGCTTTTATTATATAGAATACATAGTTAATTTTCGTAATCGTGTTTCTATTGCTTTATTTTTTTACTTCTTGCTGAGAGGAGGAAGTGTCCTACCCCAAATATGTCTATAAAATGTGCTCACTTTACTCCCTCGCTTGTTGGACTGAAGGGTACTGGGTCCAATTCCGGCCCAAGGGCACGTCCTTGGTTGCAGGCTCCTCCCCTGCCCTGGACCTGGTCAATGCTTATGCAGGAGGCAACCAATAGATGTGTTTCTCTCACATCGATATTTCTCTCTCTCTTTCCCTCTCTCTTCCACTCTCTCTAAAAATCAATGGAAAAGTATCCTCAGGTGAAGGTAAAAATAATAATAAAAAGTTTTCATGTTAGCCCTGCTGGTGTGGCTCAGTGGCTGAGTGTTGACCTATGAACCAGGAAGATAACAGTTCGATCCCGTCAGGGCACATGCCTGGGTTGTGGGCTCGATCCCCAGTGTGGGGCATGTGGGAGACAGCCAATCAATGGTTCTCTCTCATGTGTCTATCTCTGTCTCCCCCATTCCTCCTCTCTGAAAATCAAATAAAAATATGTATTTTCTAAAAGTTCCATTTCAGTTTTAATCATTTAATTCAGTCATATTTTAAAGCACCAACAAATTAACAATTGTTTATTGTGAACGGTATCCTCTCAATGTATAAAATTTCCTATTTAACTTTTCTAAACCATTACCTTTATGTGGCTTATGTATTTTTTCATTATTTACCTTATGTATTTTTCTCAATTGCATTAAATCAAATGTTCTGTATTAATTTTTCTTTAGATGCTTTTTTTTTTGTTCATTGAATGCAGTTGAATGCTTTCTTTCCAAACAGGTTCTGTAGAGAGGTTAATTTATTTTTTCACATACATTTGGACTTGTTTCTGTCATTTATGTTTTCTAATGCCATGGTCTCTATATACGGTTATGCTTCCTGTTTTCAAATTGCAATTATTTGTTCTATTTTTCACGTACATTCTTAAGCCTCATACCTTTCTCAAGGTTAACCAGTCTCTAGTCCCTTCTTTTGAACTAAACAGAGACCTACATTCATTTTTACTTTTCAAAAGACACCTCTGCCTTTCCCCAGTACACCCTCACCAATACGAATATACTCACTACTAGAGCAATGCCTTTTCCTCCTAGGTTATGGGTCTCAAAGTTCAAACACTCCTGTAAGTAAGAACAGCTTAATACTACTATAGTGACTCTTATCCTGTCAGTCTATGAAACTACGCCAGAGTGATTCATAAGATACATAATCAGTCACATTAAAGTATCTGTCATGTTTATAGCTTAGAGAATTAAAATGGCACAACTTTTAGACATATGAGCTATCAACCAGTGGTGCTAACTATATTTCCTACCACCAGAACTTTTAGTTCATACCAGTGGCCTAAGAGGCTAATACCTGAGGCAGCTGACAAGGGTGGACTTACTGTACGGACATCATGCTTGTCTCCATCGCCGAGTCCACTCTCCCTTCATCTTGTGTCTCGATGGCTGACTTCTCCGTCTCACCTGGGAGTTCAGGGGCACAAGCTCCATAGAGTTCTGGGGCTGTCGCTACGAACGGTGAAGGTACAAAACCGCTGCCCCGCAGCTTACTGACTTCCTCCTCAAGTTTCTTCTTTTCTTCCAGCAAGCGCGCTCGGTCTTCAGAGAGGGACTCGATCAAATCTAAGGGGCACCCCAGGTTGAATTGAGCATTACAGAATACTCTTAAATGATTTCTAATTTTAAAACAGAATTAAAAATCGTATTACAAAACTTTACTAACCTTTATCTCGCTCTTGCTGCTGCATTGTACTTTTCAACTTGTCACTGAGATCATTAATTATGTTTTCTTTCCTCATTTTCTCTCTTGTTAAAACAGTGTTAAAGTTGGTCTGGAAGACAAAATGATTAGGTACATAAATTGTCGCTCTAACCGGTTTGGCTCAGGGATAGAGTGTTGGCCTATGGACTGAAGGGTCCCAGGTTTGATTCCAGTCAAGGGCATGTACCTTGCTTGCAGGCACATCCCCAGTAGGGGGTGTGAAGGAGACAGCTGATCAATGTTTCTCTCTCATTGATATTCCTAACTTTCTATCCCTTTTCCTTCCTCTCTGAAAAAAAATAAAACAAAACAAAAAAACAAAAAAACAAAATATATATATATTTTTAAAAATTGTCTGCATGCACATAGATGCTAGGGCTAAAAAACTAGCCTTGCAAATAGTTTTGCATGTTACATTTATATGTGGGGGGAAAAGTACAACAAACAAATGTTTATTTTTTTTTTTAATGAAAATGTTATACAGTAGTAAATACAATGTTATTTTATTTCTCTGGTTCCATATTAAGATAATATTGTTCACATATTTATTGTCAGAGGAAAAGCAAAATTTGGGGAAAAGAAAATGATCAACAAATTAGCAAGTGCTATTTTACCTACTCTCTTAGTAATCTTCCTGCCTCTGAAAGCTTCCTGTCTTTTCTAAACCGTGGTTAGCACAACAACATTTCAAGAGAGATTTTATCGCATCTCCATCTCTTATCTGTATATTTCTATGGCCACTGCTTTATGACCAGGCTTAATGGTCTGGCCCCCACTTATCTGGCAAGCTTGACCACTCACTACTGATCAATATTAATAACTGAATCATGTTCAATAACAATCAACTGTAACCTACCAACAGCCTAACATGAATAAGAATTATCAAAAGGGAAAAAAAAAAAACATTTGGGCTGATGCAACTTAGAAAAATAAAATTTTAAAGATTATCATCTAAGTATAGTATAAACACTTTCATTTGCAAAAGAACTTATCTGAGTTTTGAAGAGATTGAGTACTTAAAATCACATAGGTAGTGAAGAAACTAGAAGTAGCGCTAGCTGGTTTGGCTCAATGGATAGAGTGTTGGCCTTCGGACTGAAGGGCCCCACTTTCGAGTCCAGTCAGGCCAGCACATGCCTGGGTTGCTGGCTCAATCCCCAGTGGGGCAGCCGATCTCTCATCATTGATGTTTCTCTCTCATCATTGATGTTTCTATCTCTTCCTCCTTCTCCCTCTTTCTTCCTCTCTGAAATCAATAAAAATATATAATTTTTAAATAACATTTAAATAAAAAATAAACTAGAAATATAATTCACATTTCCTAATTTATAACCTAAGACTTCTTCATTTGAAGCATCTGTCCTTGTGACAATAATGACTTATAAAAAGAAAATGCTTTTCATCATGAAGAAGGCATCAATGTAGGAAAATCACTTCTAAGAGACCCTAAAACATTAACTGCACAAAGAAATTATATTTTGTAATTTATGTTGCCCTTCTTTAACCTAAAATAATGAAATGGGGCAGGAGAGCATACCTGCTGTTCAGCAATCAAAGATGTTCGAACATTTTGCATTTCTTCATTCTTTCTTTTCTCTTGTTCTTCAAGTTGTTCTAAAAACTTAGCTTTCTCTTCCTGAAGCTTTTCCTGAAGTTCAGCAACCAGGCTTGAAGACTCTTCTCTGGTAGATTCAATGGCAGAACTTGAAAATTAAATATAGTATTACTTTTTTTCAAATTTGCAGATATAATCCCAAATATACCAAATACTATAACTAGCTGAAATCAGAAAGGTTTTATATCTTCAAATCTAACAGTGGTTACTATCATTATTCACAAATAACATGACACTGTACACAGAAAACCCTAAAAACTCCACCAAAAAACTCTAGATTTAATAAAGGAATTCAGCAATGTAGCAGGATACAAAATTTACTCCTAGAAATCTATGGCATTTTTGAGTATCAATAAAGTACTCTGAAAGAGAAACTAAAAACAAAAACAATCCCATTTACTATTGCAACAAAAAAATTAAGATACTTAGGAGGTAAAAGATGTACTCAGAAAACTACAAGAAGTTGAAAAAAGAGATGGAGGGAGTTATAAACAAGTGGAAGAAAATAGCGTGGTTCATGAATTGGTAGAATCGACATCATAAAAGTGTCCATACTTCCCAGAGCAATCTATAGATTCAATGCAATCTCTATTAAAATGTCAACAGCATACTCCACAGACCTAGAACAAATACTACTCCAAAAATTTATATGGAACCAAAAAAGACCCCAAAGAGACACAGCAATCTTAAGAAAAAAGAATAAAGTTGGAGGAATCACAATACCAAGTTATACTACAAAACATCCCGGAACTGTCACAGAACAGCATACAGATCAATGGAAAAGAACAGAGAACCCAGAAATGGACCCACGCCATTATGCTCCATATCTGACAAAGGAGGCAAGCGCATACAATGGAGTAAAAACAGTCGTGCTGGGAAAATTGAGCAGATGCATACAAAAAAATGAAACTAGACCACCAACTTACACCAGACACAAAAATAAACTCAAAATGGATAAGAGATTTAAATATAAGATGGGAAACCATAATAATCCTAGAAGAAACCATAGGCAGCAAAATCTCTCGTAGCAATATCTTTACCGGCACATCTTCTAGGGCAAAGGAAACAAAGGAGAAAATAAACAAATGGGACTACATCAAAACAAAAAGCTTCTGTACAGCAAAAGAAACCATCAACAAAATGAAAAGGAATCCCACTAAATGGGAGAACATATTTGGCAAGATACATCTGATAAGGGGTTAATTTCCAAAATATATAAGGAATTCATACCTAAAAAAAGACAAATAATCCAATTTAAAAATGGGCAAAGGACCTAAATAGATACTTCTCCAAAGTGACATACAGGCAGCCAAGAGATATACAAAAAAATGTTCAAGTCATTGATCATCAGAGAGATAAAAATTAAAATGACAATGAGGTATCATCTCACACCTATCCGAATAGCTACCATCAACAAATCAACAATAGTGTTGGCAAGGATGTGCAGGAAAGGGAACCCTACTACCCTGCTGGTGGGAATGCAGACTGGTGCAGCCACTGTGGAGAACAGTATTGTTTCCTCAAAAAACTGAAAATGGAACTCCTGTTTCACCCAGTGATCCCACTTCTAGGAATATATTCTAAGAAACCAGAAACACTAATCAGAAAGAATAGATGCACCCTTATGTTCTTAGCAGCACAATTTACAATAGCTAACCTTTGGAAACTACCCAAGTGCCCGTTAGCAGATGTGTGGATAAAGAAGCTTAGCCGAGACCGGTATGGCTCAATGGATACAGCGTCAGCCTGCAGACTGAAGGGTCCCAGGTTTGATTCCCATCAGGGGCATGTACCTTGGTTGCGGGCACATCCCCAGTAGGGGGTGTGCAAGAGGCAGCTGATCCATGATTCTCCCTCATCAATGTTTCTCTCTATCCCTCTCTATAAAAAAAAAAAAAAAAATCAATAAAATATATATTTTTTTTAAAAAGCTCATATTTCTAAATGATACTTTGTTTTTATCAGTAAAGGAACACGTGTACAAACACACACGAAAATTGCATACTCCCACCTTTGCATAGAATACAGGCAGCGCCAGCAGCCAGGGGAAGGAAGGCCATTCTTTCATGAATCTTCATGTGTCGGGCCTCTAGTTAACTGTATTTGATTTGGTCTAACAAATAATTGTTTGCCATGTGTTTTGAAACTTTTTTTGAGATTAAAATTTTAAATTTTTAATGTTCCATACTCTCCCAGATCTGATTCAACTATTCCTTAGAAGTATGACTATGAACAGTACAGATGTAGATTTTCAGATGAAACTATACACATATATTAATAATATATATTCATTTTCTTTACACACAGGCATGTAAGAAAGCCCCATTTCTAAAGATTTGAAAAGAAAATAAGATAGCCCCTTTCCCAAAAAGTATCTAAATAATGTATACAATTGATTTAATTTTACTGGTTATATAGGAAAGTTATTTTAATTTTGTATTTCTTTAACCTCAAGTAGACTGAACGGCTATTCACATATAGACTATTCATATTCTATTTTCTGTCTATTCATATCCTTTGCTCATTTATCTAATGAACTGTGTGCCCTCTTTAAAACTGACGTGTGTCCCTGGGCAGTGTGGCTCACCAATTAGAGCGTCAGTAATGGCACTGAAGGGCTGTGGGTTCCATCACCAGCCAAGGGCAATATCTCTGTTGCACAGTTCGATCCCCTGCCCTGGTTGGGCATGTGAGGGAGGCAACCAATCAGTGTGTCTCTCTCTCCACTCTCTCCCCACATCTTACCCCTCCTTCCATTCTAAGTATCAATGGTAAAAATACTGAGTGAGGATTAGCAAACAAAATATTTGACTTATGAAAGTGTTCTTTCCTCTGCATGAAAGAGAAACTGAGGACTACTTTATGTAGAATCCTCATCCCAGTAAGTTCTGGGAGGTTCAAGTTTGTCAACAAAAGACACCCACACAAAATCTGGAGTGCTAAAGAGGGTCTATGTTTCTCCAGAGATGGCTGTGCTCTGACATGTGAGCAACTTAAGATTCACAAGGGGCTTCTAAGCAAATTACCTGTATTGGTGTCTCAGTAGACAACTAGTAGAAGTCTCCTAAAAATTGTAGGTTTCCTGCCCCAGCTGATTTGGCTCAGTGGATGGAGTGTCAGCCTGTGGACTGAAGGGTCCCAGGTTCAATTCCAGTCAAGGGCACATGCCCAGGTTGTGGGCTCAATCCTCAGTGGGGGGCATGCAGAAGGCAGCCGAACAATTATTCTCTCATCATTGGTGTTTCTCTCTCTCCCTCTCCCTTCCTCTCTGAAGTCAATAGATACATATTTCCTAATTAGCCAACACTTTGGTGCTTCAGATAACTTTGAACCTATAGACCTCCAGGATATTGACTCCCTTATACCACCCACCTCTCCCGAAGTTCTTTATGTTCCAATTCTAATATTAACTCCTTTAATCATATGTAATAAAAGGCTAATATGTAAATAGACTGAACGGCCGAACACCCGAAATCGAACAACTGGTCGCTATAACGTGCACTGATGGGGCATGCGGGGAGTGGCGAACGTAGTGGGATGGTGGAGCATGTGAGTGGTGGCACCAGACCACAGCAGGCGCCCGTCACTGTCATTGGGGCGAGCCTCTGGTGGTTACTGAAAATTCTTTGCTCCAGCGTGCCGCGGTCCCACCTGCTGCCGGCACTGGAGCCACTGCTCGCACCAGCTGCTGGCAACCAGTGCTGGTCCCAAATGCTCGACACCGTCAGCGGGTGCTGCTGGCCCTGATCACCCCTGAAGGCTTCTCCACCTCCCCCTGCTCCTGAGGGGCGATAGGGGTAGCAGCTGCCTCTTGCACCCACCAACCGTGCTGGCCCCACTCGCACCTGCTGCTGCTACCAGTCCCAATCGCTCTGCACCATCAGCACATCGGGGCAGCGGCAGCGGCAGCAGGGCTGCTGGCAAAGAGGAGTCCGGGGGCCACGGCAGGATGGGGTGAGACCCACCCCTGTGCCCACCATAGCCACATGGCCCACAGCTCCTCTCAAGTTACAGGAATTTATGCACTGGGCCCCTAGTCTTGAAATATTTGAGAGGTTCTGGCCATGGCCAGTATGGCTGTTGTTTGGAGCATCGACCTAAATGAAAAGAGTCATGGATTCAATTCCTAGTCAGGGAACATACCCAGATTGTGGTTCAATCCCTGGTCAGGTGCTAAAGGAAGGCAACCAATTCATGCTTCTCTCACATGGATGTCTGTCTGTTTCTCTCTCCCCCCTCTCCTCTCTCTAAAAGCAATTTAAAAACCAACAAAAACATATCTTCAGGTGAGGATTTAAAATATAAAATAGGTTTTATTTCTAAGCTCAATCCAGAGATAGATACAAATGTAATTGTAGGGAAAAATAAACTCTAAAGATGGGAATCTGGAATTCTCTGATGTTTCGATCTACAGGCAGTAATGACCTTACCACCAGTGCAAAAATGGAACTCTGGCAGACCAGGGCATTCAAAACAGAACCACTAACGACTGTAGTTGTCTGGGATCAAATAGCTAAAGCCTAGGTTTTGGAGATCTCCCAGTAGTCCCTCCAAATCCCACTCAGCCTCCCTTATCAGCAGTAGCTTTTCTCCCTGATTGAGTCTGAGGCCTGGAGTACGAAATTCGTGCACTGAAGGGAAGGGTCCTCCTCAGCCCAGCCTGCACCCTCTGGCTCCCTTGGGGGATGTCCAACTGCAGGCTTAGACCCTGTCCCCCTGTGGGATTAGTCCTAAACCAGCAGTTAGACTTCCTTCTCACAATCTAGAACCGCTGGCTCCTAACTGATCACTTGCCTGCCTGCCAGATTGCCCCTAACCACCTCCACCTCAGCTCCCGCCACTGCAACTTCATCCAGAATGATGTCTGGAAGGTTATTCAGCTTTCCGGTCTAATTAGCATATCACGCTTTTATTATTATAGATTTGTGTCATCTTACCTAAGGTCCCCTTCTCAATAAGCTGATCATTCTCAACCTCTCCACCTTTTCCTTACTCCCAGACCCACTGCTACATTCATATCCCATGTTTCAAGAGAAGTTAAAGGAGGAACTGCACTTCCAAGAGGTTTCATTTATTTAGAAACATTGG